AAGGAAGGAAGGAAGGAAGGAAGGAAGGAAGGAAGGAAGGAAGGAAGGAAGGAAGGAAGGAAATTGAAGAAGATATCAGAAGATGGAAAGAGCCCCCATACTCATGAATTGGTAGGATTAATATAGTAAAAATGGCCGTGCTACCAAAATCAATCTACAGATTCAATGCAATCTCCGCCAAAATTCCAACAGATCTTCACAGACCTTGAAAGGATAACTTGCAGCTTCATATGGAAACATAAAAATCCATGATGGTTAATCCTGATCAATAAAAGAACTGCGAGAGGTATCATGATCCCCTATTTCAAGTTGTACTAGAGAGCTATAGTAATGAAAACAGAATGGTATCGGCACAAAAACAGACAGGTTGATCAGTGGCATCAAGTTGAAGACGCACACGTAAGTCCACACATCTGTGGACACCTGATTTTTTTTTATAAAGAAACCGGAAATACACACCAGGAAAAAGCAACATCTTCAACAAGTGGTGCTGGTCAAACTGGATGGCTGCATATAGAAGAATCCAAACAGATCCATGCTTACCACCCTGCACAAAACTCCAAATGGATCAGAGACCTCAGCATAAAAAAAGATAGAAGAGAAAGTGGGAAACAGCCTTGAACTCATTCACACAGTTTTGTTGTTTCTTGAGAAAATCTTCCAGATCTGTAGGTACAGGGTGGATCTAAGCATGAGTAAAAATAGATACCCAAACTACAGTGTTGAGAAACCACCAGGACAACATCGGAACTGTCTACATTGTTAAGCAGTGCAACATAAGTAGCAAGTGCCTGACACCCTTTGTTCATGGGAGCTGAAGCCTGTATCTGTGTCCTGGCATAATACTCTGTAGAATGCAGGGGTCCTGGGAGGGAAACTGGAAAGGATCCATTGGATTGAATCCACCACTTGGCACACTGTGATTTTGCAGGAATAATGTGACCACAGCAGTTGCTTTCAGACCCAAGAGTACAAAAAGAAGCCACTTCCCCAGTCCTCTGCTCTTGGCTGGATTAAGGAACCAAAATGCTGTACCTCATGCCACCCTCCTGGGTAGAGGGCTGTGGTCTTACAGAGAGGCCAGAGCCTCTGTCCCATGAGCATTATCGGGCCCTGAGTATGTTTAAGAATGGTCCAGGGTCAAAGATGAGTGGCTATCTCTCTCTTTCTCTCTTCCAGGACTACTTGGACCTGGCAGCCTCCACCCCGTCTGACTCACTGCTTTACGATGACGGCCTCTCGGAAGAGGAGACGCCCCTGGTGGACTGTAACAGCGCTCCCCTCCCGCGCTCCCTCCCTTCCACATGGATTGAAAACAAACTCTATGGTAGAATTTCACATGCATTTACTAGATTCTAGCAACGCTGTCCCTCCTGCACCATCCCAACTCTCTGTAATGCTTTTTAAGAGTGTTTCTGATCCTAACGAAACCAAAGCCTACTCTGCACCCTTTTCTTTGTAAATATCTGACTTGGCATCCAGTTTACATTCAGGCACTTTGCAGCTCTGTCTTTCTAAAAGGATGTGGAAATAAGTGTCATTACCACGCAAGCCCAGCAACTTAAGATGACACAGGAGATGCGGATTAGAGCAGAATTCTCAGGGGACATTGGGAAGCAACTCGGAGTACTTCTGACTTCCTTACCTAGATTCGTTTTCCTGATCTGGGGAGGGATTCCGTTTAGCAAGGGGAAGCTGGCATCCCCAGCTTGCAGTGGGAACATAGCTGGGGGGAATCCCAGGCTGCTCCTGCGCTGATGGGTGCCTCACGAAAGCCTTCCACATGCCCGCTTTCAGCTACTCGTCCACCGCCATGCAGTGTGGGGCAGCGGGAAAACCACGTGGGCCCTGGGCAGACACCAGACTGTTGCTGTCACATCCTTGGCACCCTATCACCCCGTTACAGTGTTGTCACTTAATGAAGCCAGTGCTAAACACTGAGCCAGTGCTTTCTGAAAGAACATAGTCTGTGGTGCTGTGGCCTTGCAATGGACAGTAAATACGGTTCTTGCCAAAACTCCTTCTTTGTCTTGGATTAAATACTTGAAATTTTTTCTGCTTCCTAACTTCATCCTTGTTCCTTTTTGAAGTCTTGGTGTTTCAAGCACTTTCAAGCTAAGGTAGGTTCTCTCCACATGCTTCCTGAGTCACAAGTCCTCGCTGGCTTTGGGTGTAGTGGCCATGAGTACTGACGATGCTGCAGGGCAGCCTGCATGCACCCTCCATGGGAAAGGAAGCCGTCCTCCTCCATTTTAGCTGGGATGACAGATGAATAGCCTCCTTTACCTTAGAACATTTTCTACAGTGTTCCCACTACAGGAAGCTGTGTGGTCCAGCCATTTGCTGATGCTTTACACTGTCCTAGGAAAACAGCTAGGCAATTCACCAGATCTATTCCAGATTGGAGAGTCTAAACGCATAGTCGTTGAGGCTGGTAGAGCCTGCTAGATTACCTTTGCCAGGAGCGTGTGGTATTGCCCACAGTAAAACAGTGTTTTGGAAACCTGGGATGCAAAACCATTCATGTAATTGGCACGGAGCGTGCAAGTTGGTTTAACCGTCAAAGGGAGTTTTGCCAAGGCCTTACTGTCTGCACGTGAAGTCTGAGTTCTTCCGTGCAGAACAAATTATCTGTTTTCATTTTTAGGCATGTCAGACCCGAACTGGCCTGGAGAGAGTCCTGTACCACTCACGAGAGCCGATGGCACTAGCACTGGGTGCCCGAGATATGCAAATGATAGTGTATATGCTAACTGGATGGTTTCACCCTCAGCGGCAAAATTAATGGACACACTTGATAGTTAACATTCCTTTGTGAACGGTAACGGACTCCCAAGGGGGACGGGACATACCAAGAGCACCAGGTCCACCGGCCCCTTGGCGCCCATCACACTGGCCAAGACCAGCGCACGGTGGCAGACACGTTTTCTGTAGTTGTTTTAGCTGGTTTCCAAAGTGGTTTTCCTTCCGTTTTACCAGCCGGTGGTCCTCCCTCCTGGCACACTTGCCCCACTGGGTGGGTGTTCAAGTCTCTGGTTTAGAGCCCCTTTCTCTTTGGTATCGGGTAGCACCTCTGTTGGTCTGTTCATCAGTAGCCACCATGAGCTCTGTGGTCACCTGTGTGGGGTCTGCCCTTCACAACTTGTATGAGAAATTGTACCTGAACTGTATTTTCCTGGTTGATATAAACCCACTACGCAAAAAAAAAAAAAGTTTCAACCCGAAGCACACACACAACATGGTTGAAAAAAGGCCAGAGTGCCCTGTCCTTGCTCAGAATGAGAGCCCAGGAAGGGTCTGGGTGGCAGCATCCGAGCCCACCAGGGCCGGAGGGGAGAAGGGGCCTCAGGGCAGTCCTCGGCTCAGCATAGGACATCTTGAATATAGTTTTTTTTTTTTGTTGTGTTTTTTATTTAAAACCATATAACCTTTTCTTAGGAACATGTTTTGTTTCTGTCATGGCTAAATGGCTCTTAGATTTAGCACAATGGAGAGATTGGGAGCTGCCCTTGCTAGGGACAAGGCAGCTTGGAAGAAGTGGCCCCACAAGACGTAGTTTCCCCATTGATTCTTCTGCATCCTTCTCACACGTCCAGCACTGAGGGACTGCCGCCATCTGACCAGAACAGGATGAAGAAAGGGGGCATTTGGAGTGGAGTGTCCTCCAGGCCCAGAATTGCTGGTGGCAGAGGCCTGGAGCCACCAAGGCTGCCCTCCAGCACACCATCCTGCTGTGCATCCCACCACCACCGAGTGCACTCGTCTCCTGCATCCGGGGCAGGTGGGTCTGTCTCATTGTGGTTGGTGTCTGGTCAGCCCCCGCCCAAAGGGAAGAACAGTTCAGCTAGTTGTATTAGAAGTTGCCCTGATAATGGCTGAGGTGAGAGAACAAGGTTTTGGCTCTTATAGAGCTTGTGTGAAAGGCACATGGGTCAGCTCTTCCTGTCTGTCGTTTATGCTGCTACGGCACGTGTTTTGGTTTCTTTGGTTCTGACCATGACTCACCTGTAAGGTTCCTAACTTTCTGTACTGATGGTTTGTAGCCACGGACACTCCACCCTCTGGGGTTCCAGGGGTGCCTCTTAGCAGTCTCAGCAGCTCTTTTGGCTCTCTGGACTGTCACCTCCCAGGAAAAGGTCACATTACCAAAACACTGCCTGGTCTTCAGACTTAAAGCACTGTGATAGGACTTTAAGTAGTCATAGTAAAATACTATATTTTATGGGCATTTCACAAACACAGTAAAATTTTGACATTTTATGTGGCTGAGAATGCTCAGATAAGTATACCATTAGGGCCTTAGGAGTGTGTATTTTTTGTGTGCACACACAGCCAGGCCAGACAGAAAGATGAAAAAATGCTTATTTAGGCATGTAATGTGGCTTTAGTTTGGGCCATTTTTTTTTTTCAGATACACTGTGATAAGTTTTTTTTTCTTTTATAAATATCTCTAGTCATGGGACTCTTTTTGTTTTTCAGATGTACTTAATGATAGTTTTATTAAATGCAACATGCCTACACAATCAGTACGAATTGCTACAGCAAGTTGGTTCTCCTGGGCTGAGAGCTCCAAATCTAAATAGCTGGCCCATCTGTGAGGAGTTAACACTTCACTAATAACCACTTGTCTGTTCCTGAGATAGAAAAGTACCCACACTTGTTCAAGTACCCATACTTGTTAGCATTATCAGACAGATTTTTCATCTACATATATGCAGAAATTAACCACATACTAAATATTACTGAGTATTAAGTAGCAATCTGTCAGCTATTAAAGTTTGTAAGATCCATTTAAGAAAGGCTATTAAACCATGCCGTGTCAATTTGTTTTTGTAATCAAGGTGACTAAGGAAATTTCAGTTGTGTAAATAAAATGATGAAACACAAAATGTGTCAATTTTCTCTTTTTAACTTCCTGTTTGAAAAAACAAAACAAAACAAAACCAGGTTGCTGATTTTAAAGTTCCTACGCATAATTAAAACATCACACAGAATCTATTGGCTTACCCGTGGGAGAGCAACAGGGATAAAGACGGTGGTGTGTGTGGTAAGCATAAGACCAACAGGGATGAAGGACAGGGTGTTACTCATCTGTCTCCTACAATAGTCAAGTGGTAAGTCGCCTAACCCTGCAATTCTAGGATTTCCTTCCTGCAGGTGACCTCCTTAAGAACAAGGCAGTGGCCAGTGGTGATACTGTGCTCTGGAGTTTTTAACTGCTAGTTTCCTGAAACTTCAGTAATCGTACCTCAGTTATTAAAACTTAAAATCTGCATAGCCATGAGCAAAAGGCACAGATGGTGAAGGAAAACTGTCAGCCACCTCTAACACACCAGCCACTTCTGTTTGCTTTAGCCTTGACATTTGGGCTGTTCGTCCCATCAGCTCCTTCATCCGGGGCAAACACTCGTTAGTAACACCAGTCTCGTCTGTAACCATGTTGGGTGCTAGGAACCTGAGCTGTTTCCAGTACACACACGTGTTGTGTGCTCAACAGACTTGGCATGTATCACCCAGCATCAATCTCACCCTTCAAGGTCAAACTCCAGGCCACCCTGCCAACCTTTGCTTTCTCCTACTTCAGTCTGGACCGCAAAAGCTGGAAAGAAATTGAATGCTGAAGCTTCAGAGGTATCTCGGGCAAGGTTTTACATTAGTATGTTGGAAACCGTTTCTTTCCAACAGCATAAACTCCATGAGGGTCAAGTGTCTGTGTATCTGTTATTTTTTTTTCCTAGAAAGCATACCAACCTCCCATGAAGGATCCCTTCCTCGTGTGTCCAGCTTATTTGGGTGGAGGACTAGCTAAATATATCCAAGAGCAGGTCCTAGGTAAATGTTTTCATATATAGAAGAAGAATTGATGGGGAAGCATATCTCCCACTGGATATAGAGAGCATTTCCCGCGGACAGAATGGAGGGCCAGCCGCCATCCTTCCTTCAAGCATGTTCACATAGCACATTAAGCTTCCCCAGCCTGTAGAGGGCTGGTTGGAAGGCTGAGGACTTTACCCCTCTGGCTGTAAGACACATAAGCAGGGATTCTGTGCCTCCTCCTCAGTGTGCAGATTGGCCAGTCTGGTGGCATCTCCCAGCCCGCACAGAAAGTCCCTCTTTGATGGTAGCACTTTAGCTGAGTTTCATAGGACTTCCCACTTCACGGGGGTGCTAGGACTCAGAATGGATCATCTTGAGTAAGATCATTAGAAACCAGATTTTGTATATAGGGAATGGTTCAGTTTGGACACATTGCCATGCTCTGTAACAAGGCCAGTGAAACTCTTGAGGGTAATCGGGTAAGCTTCATTCGCTTCCAGTGTTATGGAAACAAACATTTAAAAATATCAGTTTATCCTTGTGACTGTGGCATTGTGTTGTGGCAAGTGACAAGGTGTTTTTGGCGCTATGGGGTCTTGTTAAATTACAAGACCTGGCCAATGAGAGATCTCGGCTGAAGCCCAGATACAGAAATTCATCTACATGCCTCCTACAGCTAAAATATAGTATTCAGTTGGGCGGTAGAAACATATTTTGATATTTCAATGCAGATACTTACCTTGCAAACTGTCAACTTCATGAATAAAGATTTAAGGTTTCTTGACGTGTCTTTGAGTGTTTCATCTTTATCACTAGTCCAGATTCAGGACTGGACCACCTGTGTCTTTTATTGGCTGTTTTCACCTCACCTGCACTCCGATCCTTTTGTGGGTTTAGAATGTTTAGAAATGTCTAGTCCGTGTTTAGGTAATACATAAGGCTGCTTATGCTACATGAGGCCAGAGACCTTAGCCAGAGATTGTAGTAGATGGATGGTGCTGCATCATACCCCTGTTGTGAGGCCTCCATTCTCATCAAGGCTGTGGCTTTCCCATATCTTGGGGCACCCCAGAAAGATTTAAAGAACTTGGGAATTTTCCTGGTAACTCTGGGGTCACGGGGCCTGGTAGAGTAACATTCCTGAATTCCTGAAAACCATGGGGTAAAGAATCAGTCTGAAGCTTGAGGAGTGGCATCAGTTTACAGATAGAAATCACTCTCTAGAAGCCCATTTTTCTAAGAATAGGAACAATACCCAGCAGGGGAGATACTAGGTTCACAAAAAATAAAGAGTAGTACTCTCCACACTTGGGAGGCTTAGACAGGAAGGTCACCACTACAGTGGGAGACCTTGCCTTAAAAAAAAAATAAGGTTGGAAGAATTCTGGCTTCTTAGAAAATACTCAAGGAAGTACTGTAGCAGTTTGCACTTTTGGATTTATTACAGGAATCACCCACACTATGATTGCCTGTTAGCTGCAAAGGCTGTGTTTCCCAGCTGCTAAGGGGAAGAAACTCCCAAACTTTTGAACTGTCTGCACATTGTGCAGAAAATGCCAGGGCTGCAGCTTTCCTGAGTTGTCCACACTGGCGAGGGCTTTTGCCGACGCAGCTGCCTCTGAGTCAGACATGCTCCTCTAAGTAACCCAGCGAAACCCATCGGGTCTCCAAGTCAGACCTTGGTGCTCTTCACTACTTTTGTCTGATCCTGGCTCCCGATCTGGGAGGCAGAGACATTGATTCATGTTGCTCAGGAAGAGTGTCACACAACAGATGGGAATTCATTTGGCTGAATCCGTGAGGAATTTCATAGAGAAATTGACCTAACACCTACCTGAAATCATTTGGTGCTACCATGCCATGCTCTTGGGAGCACATGAGGTTATCTAAGAAAGTTGTTAGATTTCCCCAGTCTTCCTCCTTGGAGTCAAGAATCTAAAAGTGTGTTTTATAATGTCTTACTGAATGCCAGCAGAGGTTCATCCTTTGACGGTTACTTGGTTCTAGCCATAGCTTTGGGTAAACCTTGTTTAGCGTAATAGTTTGCTGCAGCAGTTTTTTTTTCTTTTTTTAGCTTCAGCGTAACCCCTTTGTCAGAGCCCCTCCTCTGAAACGGTCCCCTCTCACTGGAAAATAGAAGTGTAAAAGTCAGTTAACTTGGTGGCCATTTTGGTGGCATTCTGTATACAAAGTCATGAATGTCCAAAGCCATGTGCACTCCAGAAACATACTTCTTGTCTCTTCTCTGTGTTTGTCCCATGGGCTAGCTAGTTGACAAGTTGTATGTGTTATCAGACATGGAGACTGACATGTCCCAGTGAGGACTGTACTCTAAAGAAGAGCTTACATTGCTATAATATATCCCGTTTGATAACTTCAATGTTAACATGGTTCATCCGCCAGTAAGTC